AGGCGGGGCAGATTCGGGGCAGAGGGGGCAGAGCGGGGCAGAGCGGGGCAAGAGCTGGGGCAGAGCGTGGGCAGAGCGGGGCAGACGGGGCAGATGGGGGCAGTAGCGGGCAGAGGGGGCAAGCGGGCAGAGCGTGGCAGAGCGGGCAGAGCGGGGCAAGAGCGGGGCAGAGCGGGCAGAGCGAGGCGGCAGGAGCGGGGGCAGATGGCGGGGCAGAGCGGGGCAGAGCGGGGCAGAGCGGGGCAGAGCGGGCAGAGCGGGGCAGAGCGGGGCAGCAGCGGGCAGAGGGGCAGCAGCGTGGGCAAGAGCGGGGCGAGAGCGGGGCAGAGCGGGGGCAAGAGCGGCAGATGCGGGTCAGAGCGGGGCAGAGCGGGGCAGAGCGGGGCAGACGCGGGCGAGCGGGGCAGAGCGGGCAGAGCGGGGGCAGAGCGGGAGCGAGCGGGCAAGAGCGGGTCAGAGCGGGGCAGAGCGGGCAGAGCGGGGCAGAGCGTGGCATAGAGCGGGGCAGAGCGGGCAGAGCGGGCAGAGCGGGCTAGAGCGGGCAGAGCGGGGCAGAGCGGTGGGCAAAGAGCGGGCGGGTCGGGGTTGGGAGAGCAGGCGGACGGGAGCGGGGTGGAGAAGCAAGGCTGACGGGGGGCGAGGTGAGTGAGGTAGGGAGCTGGCAGAGTGGGGCGGGCGGGCGGCGGAGAAATAGGAGTGGGGAAGGGAGGGGGCGGATGCGGGATGCGATGCGTCCTTGGAGGAGCCTGGGCGCTCTCCCGCCTCATTAGCAAAATCGTCTTGCGCTCTTGGCGCCACAAGTGTGACGCTAATCGAGTTACAGGGCGCCTGATGGCAAGCCGTTCTTACGCTAACTTGGCCCGTGTTTTGCTGCGGCGGGGCAGTTTAACATCGGGGCCTTCTTGCAGCTGCCCGGCCTGCACCGTTCAAGACTCCCGTCACACGGGGCAAGGCGCCCCGTGGGCCCTGGCGGACGGAAGGAGATGGCGTGTGGAGTCAAAGATGTACGCAAGCATTATGGGAAAAACAGAAATTGGCTGGCACTAAGGAGTCAGCAATTTGGTTAAGGGGTCTTCTTTTCAATGACATAGTTTACAATGGTGGCTGTAATTGCGGTTAAAATGCATTTTCTAATGAGGCAGAATTTTCGTGAAGTAGGCGAGATTATCGGCCGGACTCTCTCGAATATGCTTCGAGTGATAACATGTCTTTGTCTCTTGAGTTACAACACAATGGAATATAAAAAAGATATGAAAATGGAACTTTCGGAATTAAATTTATGAGTAAATTGATGTTTTATACGTAATATTAATATGCTTAGGAGAACTGTTAAACCTATGTAACTATACACGGTACTATTATATTTTTTAAAACACGGAACGGTAATGATGGCGATAGTCCACAACAGTAACTAACGTGGCCACCTCTGGCAAAATTAATACTGATATGAAATAATTTTTATTTGAATATCCGTGAATAATATTCACTCGAACGAAAGCCCGTTGTCGCATCGTATACATCTTCTATATTATCAAATTAGTACCCATCACTAATTATGCCGTTTGATCCTCAAAAAATTTCCTTTGTTTAAGAAGTTTTTGTTAACGTTTTATAAGTATTTCTAATCGTTGTTCTAAATAATTACTATTTTGCGCTCTCTTTTTCCAAACAAGTGACATCACATGACGAAAAATTGTCCTGATCAAAAAATTGGAATTGCAAATGAATTCGACTATAGAAAGAATTACGTGATTTTTCAGATCAGCCGCATAATGAATGGTTGGATCTAGGTTCTCTGTAGGAGTCATCGTTCACGGAGTGGGTGCAATGTGAAACGTGGAACGTGATCCGCCATTACGAGCAACAGGTCTGCATCAGTTCTGAGTGTAAACTCCTTGAGGGGAATGTCCCCCGCAGGGTTTCGCCGTTTCCCTGTCCCTGGAAATTGAGAACTTCCGACGAGCGCCTGGTTTCTCAGCGAGCTTTACGTTGCTAGAGCCAGAGGCTGCAGGGTAAAATAAAGTGCCCTAAGCTCCCGTCATTAGACCTCATGTTTATTGGACCTATTGGCCATTAGACATTCATGTCTTATTGGACTATTGGCCATTAGACATCATGTCTTATTGAACCTATTGGGCACTAGACCTCATGCCTTATTGACCTATTGGGCACTAGACCATGTCTTATTGGCCTATTGGCACTAGACCTCATGTCTTATTGGACCTACTGGCCACTAGACCTCATGTCTTATTGGACCTATTGGGCACTAGAGCACATGTCTTATTGGTCCTATTGGGCACTAGACTCATACCATGTCTGTATTGGCTATGGCCACAGACCTATGTCTTATTGGACCTACTGGCCACTAGCCCATGTCTTATTGGACTACTGGCCACTAGACCTGCATGTCTTATTGCGAGCCTACTGGCCACTAGACCTCATGTCTTTATTGGACCTACTGCCACATGAGCCTCATGTCTTATTGGACCTACTGGCCACTAGAACCCATTGGAGCTGCTCATTCAGACTTCTATCCCTGGGCCTATCGATCCGAATCGCAGAGCGGCCGCACTCACCGGAGGCGCCCGCGGGGCCGGCGACGAGTGCTGCGCAGCCGCCGCTGCCGCTGGCGCCCTGCTTGCCGCTCCTCGCTCATCTTGCGCAGCTGCTTCTTGTGCTTCATGCGCCGGTTCGTGGGAACCAGCGTCTCACCTGCGAACAAGCGCGCACTCGCCAAGTTACTCCCGCGCCGCCGCACGGGGGAGGAAACCGCACGGGTCAGGGCCGCCTTTTGTGGGCTAGCCGAAGGCAAAGAAAGGGAGGTTCTGTCGGGATTTTCTTGAAAACGAAATGAGATCGGCAATTCAGTGGCGTACCTCGCGTAAAAGAGGGCCTATTTTTAGGGGATATTCTCATTATTTAAGATACTAACACTACTTGTGTTTGCTTTACACTTTTATAAAGGGGACCTGGGCAAATGTTTTGCGGGCGGTCCCACACTCATTTACGCTACTGCGCCAATCATTGATATTATGTATAATTCTGGATTGGGTACACATTTTGCCGCACGGGCCGTCGTTTTCATGGGTTATCGAGTAATTGCACTGAAGAAGTTGCAGCTAATTTGAGAGCAGAAGCGGCACGGACAGCTCGTAAACAATTGACAAGAGTTTGATTCCAAATTTGTTTCAATCCAACACATCCTATTTCAACTAATTATTAAATTTCTTATTAAATTGAATGTCGATGGATATACATTTAGAAGAATGGTCATGAGTACTGTAATTAAAACACAGAAAAACTAGCTTCCAGTTCTGAGTTCTAAGAAACATCAAAACAATTACGAAGAATTAAAAGCAAATAATAATAGTTACTAATTGAGAAATGGGTTAATTTGTTACCGGACATTTCTTAAACAAATTTCGTCGCAACCTTGTGCAAATAATCCAGTTCGCTACTTGTTTGTAAGATTCTTAAGCAAACTTTAAAATTATTTACAATATTATCGTCTGAAAATAGTTGGGACTGAATAGATTTGTTTGAAATTTCAAAATGAATTCCAAAGGTTTAAAGAACCGCTTCCTGCTTTCGGAAGACATTTTTAAGGCTTCCTCACAATGTTCAGAAATGGAGTCCTTTTCGGTGAACGGTATCGATCATCATTACGAAGCTACTCACCAAGAATAATATGTACCCTTTAGTCAAGAAGTAGCATCAAATATAAAACAAAATTTCTTTATAAACTATACTATTTAGAAGTAAATCTTTTAGGTAGTACGTATTTCAGTTACAGATTAAAACGACAAGACATTCTAAATGTACCTCCACCTGAGTAATTGAATTTACAGTGACTATAATTCACGACAACTCGTAATCTCTGAAGGAAGCTGCATAATTTTTTTTCAGTTTCTGCGCATATTGGAAATTAATAATCGAGATATTAATTTCAGATCGCTTAAGAAACAAGTGAATACATTAGAGGTCACTATTATTTCCCATTATTATCTTCCCTAGCCTCTCGGGGGGCCCCATAGTCAGCGTGTAGCTTTCCTTGGTCCGATCTCGAGTTTGATCGGGCCCCTGTCGTTTGTTTGACCCCTGTCGGGGCCAAAATTGAACAATGGTTTTCCACAATTGGCCTCTCAGTTTCTATAGCCGTGTGACAAAAGAAAAGCTCAGGGAGACCAAGTATACTAGATACGGTGAAGGGAATTCGCCACGCTCGCCACACGTCTCCCTTAGATAATGAATCAGGAGTCAGGCCTGCCAACACCACTATCTGACTAAAGTCGGATTAATCTGACCCTAAAATGCCAAATATCGACATTAATTATCTTTTCTTCAATTGAACAAATTTCCAGCTATTCATTTTTTCCAACCTTCATTATTCAAACGAATCGATACTTCGTACATTTCCATTAATGTTTTAAATTAAAATGAATGATACTCATTTTATAACTACAGCTTTATTTCAAAGCGAGCATTCTTTAATAATTCCTAAGTACTCTTAAAACAATTCAGGCAATTCAAGTGGTAGTTGTTTATTATTCTAAACCAAAAAAGTGCGAAACAAGATATAATATAATCACTTTGATGAACAAACAATATAGTTAACTGAATAATTTATTAAAACATCCTCTATCTTGCAAATATTTTCAGGATTGTGAAAAATTTACAATTGTGAACTATATACATGCCTAATCGAGCACGTTGGAATTTTACTTTTTACCATTCAGTCAACAATAACAAGTAATAGGATTAACTTAGTATTTACTTTTTTCCGAGGCTATGATGCCGGAAATTTAACATGAAAAAAGTGCTACATGAAAAATGAAACAGAACAAAAAATGTGGTGATTGCAATCTGCCTTTAAGGAAACTAAATCAAGTGCGTAGGCTTTCATTTGATGTACAAATTATATATTTGTTCCCCATTTGTTGTGAATTAACGATATGAAAGGTTGGAAAGAAGAGAACAATTACGAGAAAAATTGGTCGTATTTATGCTAATAAGGGCATTTGAAGTTCATTGCGAGATTGCCCGTAATATATCACAGCGTTTTTATGATGATGATTTTTTGATTTCTGAAATTTAATATTCATTTTCCCAAATAGGGAAGGCATACCAGGAAAGGTCTAATTACATATTAGAAATGACCGAGAAAATTCAATTGTGAGAGATTTTCTTGTTCATGAATTTGTAATTTTGGCCTTTTTTAATAGGGTTCAGAAAATCGTGTATTGTGTCGTGTTCCATACGTGTATCTTTATATTGGGATGATTTCATACAACCTCATTTAAACAAAATGTTCTTTCCGATATCCGAATTCTACGATATGAATTAGTGGCGATTATTGCGTTACCTGAGCAAGCAGTTTCTTTTAAACGTATTAGCAGATTCGTATTTTTGTGGATTACGTTTACGTTTGTAGATTATTTATTAACAGCCAACTGGAAGAAATTTTGAAATCAGACTCTGAAAATCAAACTTTCTTACTTGTTAAAGGAAGAATTCAGATTTCGAATAATTACATTCTATTATTGAAAATTACACTGAGGTATCAAGTACGTCATGAATTTGAGAGGCTGAATGTTGACATTATTTTACATCAGTATGCGTATATCTAATATTTAAAAAATCGTTTGGATTACATTGTGCTTTTAAATATTAGTTCCAAAATTATTTATGGAAAAAATATTTTGCATTTTACACCTAATCGTTATTATTTCTTCAATCTCTACTTCTATTTAGTATTACTTACAGATGAACTTAATATTCGAAAATACATGTTTCTCGTCATTTGCAAGAAAAAACTCGTAAAATTTGAAAGAATGTTGAACCAGGTACCAGAACCATGTAAATCAAACCCGCCAAATGAATGAAGCTCGCCTAATTTAAAAACAAATCATCTTGCTCTTCAAGCATTTAACAACGACAGTAAACGTCCGAAATCCTTCGGTGCAATATGAAAGTCGTCACGAAAAGAAAATATTTCGGTGTCAGTGGCTTGAGAGTAGGTTTCGTCTGCAAAAAATGTTATTTCTGAAGTATTTCATTAGACATCACAACATCCGACTATGTCTTTTATAATTTTATTATTGGCTACCAAAAAATTCAAATTCACTCCAATTCGAAGGTATTTAATCACGTTTTTGTGAAATCAATTAAATCAAAAGTTTACAGTTGAAATATTCGTTTCTGAGTTCTTAATTCTACCAACACGATTCGCGAGGGCCATAGTCTCGGCAAATCGCTACTTCTCCCCCTTCCAAAGAATGCGGGTGGCTGGGACTCACCTGCGTCTCGGAGAGGTTGAGCGCGCTGGCCAGCTCGACGCGCTCGGGCGTGGAGAGGTAGCGCTGCGCCTCGAAGCGCTTCTCCAGCCCCGTCAGCTGCTGGTCGGAGAAGACGGTGCGCGCCTTGCGCCGGCGGCAGTGCTTGGCGGCCAGCTCCGCGCCCGCGCCCGCGAACAGCGACCCGAACGGCAGCCCTGCGCCCACGCCGCACGCTCACTGCCTCCTCCCTTCACGCGCGCGCGCGCGCACACACACACGAACACACACACAGCGCACCACACCACACACGCACCACACACACACACACACGCACACACCCGCACGATACACACGCACACACGCACACACACACACACGCACACAACACGCACACCCACCCTCCCTTCTCCTCACACAACACCCTCTCTCCCTTCCTTCAACACACACCCTCTCTCCCTTCCTTCACCACCACACCCCTCTCCCTTTCCTTCACACACACCCTCTCTCCCCTTCCTTCACACACACCCTCTTCTCCCCCTTCCTTCAACACACACCCTCCCCTCCCTCCCTTCCTCACACACACCCTCCCTCCCTCCCCTTCCTTCACACACACCCTCCTCCCCCTCCCTTCCTTCACACCACACCCTCCCTCGCCTTCCTTCACCCACAACACCCTCCTCCCTTCCTTCAACACACACCCTCCCTCCCTTCCTCCACACACCTCCCTCCCTTTTCCTTCACACCACAACCCTCCCTCCCTTCCTTCACACACACCCCTCCCTCCCTTTCCTTCACACAACACCGCTCTCCCTTCCTTCACACACACCCCTCTCTCCCTTCCTTCCACACACACCCCTCTCTCCCTTCCTTCACACCACACCTCTCTCCCTTCCTTCACACACACCCTCTCTCCCTTTCCTTCACACACACCCTCTCTCCCTTCCTTCACACACACCCTCCCTTTCCGTCCTTCCACACAACACCCTCCCCTCCCTCCTTCACACACACCCTCTCTCCCTTACCATTCACCACACACACCTCCTCTCCCTTCCTCACACACACATCTCTCTCTCCATCTGCCTTCACATACACACCCACCATCCTTCTTCACACACCACACATCCTCCCTTCCATGTCACACACACTCCTACTTGCGACACTACACACCCTCCTGCCCTTCTCACACACACCCTTTCTCCCCTTCCTTCACACACACACACTCCTCCCTTCCTTCACACACACCCTCCTCCCTTTCACACACCACCCTCCTCCCTTCCCTTCACACACACCCTTCCCTCCACTCCTTCACACACACCTCCACACTCCCTTCCTAAACACACACACCACTCCCTCCCCTCCTTCTCACACACACCTCCCTTCACGCACTTCCTTACACCACACCTCTCTCCCCTCCTTCACACACACCCGTCCCTCCCTTCCTTCACACACACCCTCTCCTCCCTTCCCACACCACTACCCTCCCTCCCTCCCTTCCTTCACACACAACCACTCTCCTCCCTCCCTTCCTTCACACACACCCTCTTCCTTCCTTCAACACCACCTCCCTCCTGCCACACACCCTCCTCCCTTCTTACACACACCTCTCTTTCCTTACACACTCCCTCCCTTCCTTACACACACCCCTCTCCTTCTTCCACAACACACCCTGCTCTCCCTTCCTTCTGACACACACCACTCCTCCCTTCTTGACACACACACCCTCTCCCCTTGCTTCACACACACCCCTCTCTCCCTTCCTTCATCACACATCGCCTCTTCTCCCTTCCGCAACACACACCTCTCTCCTTCGCTTACACACACCCCCTCTTCCCTTCCTTACACACACCCCTCTCCCTTCTTACACACACCCATCTCCTCCTTCTTCCACACAACACCCTCTCTCCCTTCCGATTCACACTCACCCACTCTCTCCCTTCCTTCACACATCCTCTTTAAAACCTGCATCACAAACACACTCATACACTCAGCACACATAATCTCATCACCATCACCTAGCACAATCATGGATTCTCACTGGCTTGGAAACAGTATTCGTGTACTGTTTTACCGTTCTGAACACGGAACACCAGGAACCCTTACGTATACATTCGTTCTAAATGCTTGTTCAAGACAATATCTCAATTTTTTCAAACACACAGAAAAAATATCTGACAAATCCCATTACTAGAATTGCGACGATTTCGAGCCCTTTACAAGATACGAAATCAAGGTCGATTCGTAACTGATTATCACTGCAAGTCTTTCTATGATTTTGTGTATTTAAAGATTAACAAGTTTATAACAGTACAAGATGAAATCTGTCATGCGATGTATGAGAAATCAAACGTGACACGCCAAGCTCCGTGATATATTTTGTTCAATTTTTTCACTTATTTTTAATATTTATCCTTTTGACTTTGTGGTGGCTTAGTATTATTTGCAATGTGTTAATTTGAAAGCTACTTTTTCACGCGACCTGGCTTCAACTTCACTTGATTGTTTGTATAATGAAAGGAATATAAAGCGATTCATATTTTTAATTTTGGGACAATGTTTGCAACAACGTATATTATGAAGATAAGTCTGTGCAGTATATAAAATTTTTATGAAATGACATTCCAAAGGAGTTCATCAAATGATTTTTTTCCAGTAAAACAGTAGTCAATTGCACAATTCATTTGTGTCGTGTAAAATGTTTAAGTTAGAGAATGTTCTTGTTATGAATTCATTGAAAAAGCATTGGTTTCACGTTTGATTCATTTAATTAAAACTCCATTTGCACGCGTACACATTTTTACAGACGCTAGGTTTATGAAATACTACTGGGAAATATGGAGCATTGTTACAAAATACGAACACAGTAATTTCAATTATTACACCTCACGTTAGGGAGAAATACTCCTATACTCCGTATATCCCCTCGATACAAATCAATGAAATTCTTTCAAACATACGATTCCTTTTTAGAGAAAGTAATTAGCAAATAAATACCACTTTCAAATTCAAAAAGAAAATAAGGATAATTCAACTTCAAAATAACTAGAGACTAGTAGAACTGAGTAACATCTTAAATAATTATCAAGTAAATGTGCGACATTAAAATGAACTCCTTTTTTGAATTGGCTATTTAATAATAATAAAAAAAACGCAGCAACTGTATCACGAATATACCGTCCGTCCGCCGTTTAATACAAGACACCCCAGTGTCGCCGCCCCCCCCCCCGCCGCCCGAGCGGAAGTCTCACCTGGCGAGAGGAAGAAGGGCTCGCTCTTGGGAGATAGGGGTGTCACAGGCCGCCGCCGCCGCCCCGCAGCCGCCGCCGCCGCCGTGGCGCGTGCAGGTAGGCGCGCGCGCGTGCAGCATGGAGTAGCCGTCCGGCCAGCGCCGGCCGCCGCCGCGCGCCGCCGCCCCCGCCCGCCCGCCCGCCACCGCCGCCCCCGCCGCGCCGCCCCCGGCGCGGCTCAGCGCCGCCGGCCCCACCGCCGCCGCCGCAGTGGGGAGCTGCACAGCCCCCGTCATCCAATCACCCCTCAGCCACGCCTTTTCCGCTAGCGGGCACTGTCAAGGTGGAGATCGACCCAGTTTCAGAGCAGACAGGTGCAAAACGATGTATTCAGCATCGCCTTCGCCATCTCGCTCTGCATCCAACGGCGTTTTCCGATGTAAATTCCTTGGCTCTTGGTGAAGGAGGAGTGGGGGCGGGGGCTTCCGAGTTTTGAAATCGAAGCTCCCGGCTGGATGTCGTTGCCTCCTCTCCTACCGCTCCAAGAGCCAAGGAATTTAAATGGAACTTCACTTACGAGTTTCTCATTCAACTAACACGTTAAGCATTAAGCCTAAATTACCAGCACAGTCATACAATTGGGAGATCGATAAGATTCCTGTCAACATGTCTTTCATACAATAGTCACTCCCGGGTGCATCATAGAAAATTATTTATAAAAACAAGAACTTAAATTACAAACACCGGAGGGAGGAAAACCATCCTTATTCTGTACGCGCTTGAATATTCGAATTTGTTTTGTTATTTTTGATAAGATATAAATGGTAACATAAGGGGTAAACTGGACAGAATTTGCTGCCGTGAGAGATGATTTGAAAAAAATACTAACTGGCAATTGCAAAGCTCATTGCATTTCCGCATGCCCAGCTACGAGTACAAAGGGTACATTCTAAAACAATTGAATTGAATTATTATCATCTTTATTGCCATGAAAGGTGTTCTAGTATTGCTTCAGTGACTTAAATTACCTATGTCCAAAACTGTTTAGAATATATACTACCACTTATCAATAAGATTCTAACGTAAATACTAATGAATTCGATTTTTTATTGATTTATAATTGTAAGGTTTTGAATAATTTTACTGAGTTTTTGATAGAAGAAAATTTAGAAAAAGATACAAGTACCCTAATAAAGAATATACTAAACGAGCTTATACTATATTTTGTATTATTATAAAATATAATTTAATATTTTGGACACCAAAATGATTTTATTTAGTTCACATCAAAGCCCTAAGAAGCTAAGAAATTAAGAACTTAGTGTTAACACCGTCCATTACGTTATCACTTATAAGTTCAGGTTCCCTAAATGATGTGCGAGATGGTCTCAAAATAACTGTCCTATCACTGCCAGGCAATTGGACATTGCAATTGCTTAGCGGAAACAAAGGAATCAGCGCTAAGGTTCCTGCATACGGCCCTAAGTTTGATTTCAACTAATTTGGTCAACATAAGGAAGCGCTACATGGTAACAAATTTAATGCTAAGTTAAAGTTTACGAAGTCGAAGACGCGCTAAAAAGAAGCTTTTTGGGCTCTTTTTAGACATTTATCACGAAAAAGTGTGGCGTTTCAAAACCTGGCTATTCTACGTTATCACCAGCAGCCCGACTTTCGAAATTGTGTTAAATCGTTTAGCTTAAATGGGCTTCTTTCTCAAGACAATGATTTATTTGTTGCAGACATAAATAAATTGATTGTTTTAATTTTTCTAGGCTGTATTAGTGTTACTATATTTAATTGAAGTTGTTGGGGAGTATTTTGAAAAGTGAAAAAAATTGCATTTGTGAAATAAACTGTTTTACCTTCTCCGTAATTTTGATATTACAGTACCCCATTACTTTAATCAATGCTATAAAAATAGGAATAATGAAGAATGCATTGTCATTCACGAAACTGGAAATGGTTATCAGGAATTTGTTCGGAATTTTATTCATAATTGTATAAAAAATTATATTTCTGTGAACTTCTTGGGAGATTAATTATTCCGCAATTTATGTAATCAGTTTAGCCCAAATGAACCTAAATTGAAGAAAAGTTTACTCCTGAATGAAAACAGTAAATACGATATTAATTTAGATGGTAACTTCTATTAAATGAACTTTTCTTTATCAAAGCAAGTTTGTTTAGAAGAATTAGCTCATTATTTTGAGTACCGAAAACCTCTTCACCGTTAGTAAGAGCTTAATCGAGCGTTTTTGACAAGAAAGAAGTTAATGCACGCAGACAACTCCAGTTTATTGCCATTGAATCGGAAAATTATTGAGAGAAATTTTATTATCATTTACATCATGTAACAGTCTTACCCGGCTGTAAGCAGATTATGAGATTCGTGGAAGAAAAGGAAATAAACATGAACAAGTCACAGACAAGTGGGCGGAATAGCAAATAAAGTGAAGTAATTAACATTGAGGAGTTTGTAAGTGAAAGAAAGTGAGACCTACAGAGAGAGTTAAGAGGGAATAATTAAAGGAAAATGAAAATAAATATTTAATAAGAAGGAAATACGTATGCTGATATTTAATATTTGTAAAAATGTAGAAGTAGTCTCGAGGATATACATGAATTTTGAATAACCATCACAAAATCAATGACACAAAGATGCAGAGTCAAGAAGGAAGTATGAACTAGTCAAGAAGTGAGTAAGAACTAACAGATGCTTTCAAAAAGTGAAATAAAAATGATAATGAAAGTTGTAAGCGATGCGTTCAAATTTCTACGTAAAAATTTATGAAAGTGGAAATAACATCCATCATCAAATAATTTTCATCACAAAAAATATTCTCCAATCACGTTCCAGAAGCCGCTCTCTCAGAG